AAATCACCATACGTGTAGGGTCTTCATGGCATTTTTGTGACCCTGAAGTAATGGGATATACAAAAAGCTTCATTTAAAATGGATCTCATGAAGCAGCATCAGTAGAGTTTAACTTTGGTAACATCAACTGAAAATGAAAAATTGCTGGTTTTTAAGTAATGATATGTATCTTGGGAAGATTTTTGTATTAAGTTGAAGAACACACCACATATCTTCTAGTAAACCACAACAACCACCACCTTACCTCCCACATACATGCACATGCAGTAATACTGTAGTTTGCTGCTGTAGTTTGCTTAGAGCTGAAGCTCTTCGGAGTGTATTTTTCAGGTATAGATGCACTGTAAATATATATGTACACTCTGTGGACTCAACCCCCCTCCAACACCCCCAATAGATTCTCTTTTGTGCCAGAAATAAAGTGAAATAAACACAGTGAAAAAGCTTGTTTTTCAAAAGTATCACCTGTTGGATAACTTGGTTGCTGGTTTGCTTGGAGAGCCAGTCCTTACCTTTCCCATTTGGATAAAAGGAAGAAAACCTCATTATAAAAAGAACAAAAAATTTGAATTATTAATAGCAGCCTGTCCTTAGAAACCTTACTTTCCTTCCCACTTCCCCTCTTCTTCTGTTATCTCAAACATTTTTAATCCAGCAAGGCATCAATCACGCTCCTCCCCTGCCATATTCACTAACTGGGTGGGTGCCTTTATTATTTGGTTTCAGGAAGCTCAGTTTTGCCCTGAGAAAGTTTCAGGGCAATTACTAAACAGAAAAAGTGAGAATACCTATGGGCTTCCTTTTTTCTTTCCCTTCTGATGACAGCTCTCAGGACTAAAGAAGTTGCTTTTAATTAAACCTGACGAATTAGCATTCAGGTGGCTGTAACATGCTGCCACTTTTCTCTCCCCTTTCTAAGTCTTTGTGAATTCACAAAAACTCTTTTTACAAACTGCTTTTGATGCAAAGTTTATCATGTTCTGATGCAAAGTTTATCATGTTCTGTTTCCATTCCAGGATACCAGGGGCTGGGACAATGTCACCTCTACTGTTACTCGCTATGCAATGAGGAAAATCTTTATCCTCCTGCAAATGTTAAGCCAAGAGTGACTTTGGCCAAACAATGTAAAATTTGTACTAAAACCTAGTTTATTTTTTATGGACAGATCTAGATAAATCCAGCAAAAAAAAGGTAAATTTAAAGAATTCTAATGTGATCAAAAATTTTGTTGATTTACTACAACCTAAAAACTAGATCAAAATTATACATCAGTTAGGTCTTTCAGAAAAATAAAAAAATAATCTGTATTTTATTAAAGTGGTTATTTCATCAGAAATTGAGCCTGAGAGGACAAAAATACATAAGGGAGGGAGGAAGCTGCAAAGCAGAGTTGAAAATCAAAGAAAAAGGAAAGCTGAAATGTATTACAAAGGAAAGCTAAAAGGTATTGTGAAGGAAAAAGAAAAAGGAGGAAAGAAAGAGAGAGGAGAATGACAAAAGCTGAATCACCTGCAGATATGATTTTCCAGACAGAAATGACAACTGCTGAGGAGAGCAGAGGAAAATAGATGGAGAGAGGAAAGTAAAATTAAACCAAGTAGAGATAAGGATAAGTAATATAAAAATTGCATTTCACTCTTAGCCCCTAAACTGATGGGTTTAGGAACAGCCTCACAGCACAAATGGTCTGTTCCTTGCCATGATCATTTATTGATGTTGACCTGCTGCACAGTAATTGATGAGGCACAACCCCTCGGTGTCCGCCCCCTCTCCTTGTTAAGGGACTTTTAATATTGATGGATGATGTATTCTATGCAGATTGATGAAGTCCACATGGGATGTGTATATTAATTTGACAGGTTACTCAGACTCATCAGAAGTCAATGGGAAGCCTTTGCAAGACAAAAATCTAATTCTCAATGCTGTAGACTTATACTTCTTACTGAATGTTTTAAAATGTTTTTAAAAGGTCGGTTGAACTCAAACTACATTTACAAACTTTAAAAACTTCTTAATGTTCTTAGAAGCAGCAAGATACTCTAAAAATGTTCCAAAGTTAGATAAATTTCTAAAAGTATTTCCAAGAAAGTAACGGTTATGTAATGTGAGGTCTAAATAGTATCCCTTGTTCATAAAACTTTAATTCAAATAAGCCATCTTGTTAACCTTAATAAGTATGTTAGAACAGCTCACCAGCCACAGCTGAAGTTACATTAATCCTGTTGCAAGCTTCTAGAGAGCACATTTAGTACATCATATACTCTAAGAAATGGTCAAAGGAATATTATATAAATAGTGGAGTCAAACACTCAGCAGTAGAAAATGCTGAGAACAAAATTGTCTGTGCATTCTCAGTTCAGGTCTTGGTGAATAGGTTCTCTTTTATGAGCTTTAGTCAGATATAATATATAAAGATGCTTTTCCCCTGCTTCAATCTGGACAGAAGACAGTGCTCAGTCAGTAAGCTTCAACTTTTCCTCATTATTAATGACTGAATCTGCATTGGAAAGTAAAAGAAAAATTTTGAAAACAAAAAAACCCCCACATTATTTACTTGTACATCTCCTGCAATAACATCATCCTCTTATTTCCCATTTTACTGATCGAGAGCTTAGGCCCAAAATATAAAGGCAAACTTAAGGTAAATAAAGATGTGATTGACTTCCTCAGCTTATATTAAAAAAACTTCAGTGGATGAGTTTGCTTTCCTGGCTTAACCTTAGTTGCATTTTGGTCAAAAGAATAACTTTCCTCTCTTGCTTTTCACCATACACCTCTCATCTAACAAATGGGCAGAGTAATACAAAGGAGTCAGCAGAAACAGCCTGTCTATGTGCTCAATGGAGCATGATGTGGGTAAAAAGAAGATTTGTCTCCTCATATTAATTATCCATATATCATAAAGAATGAACTGATGGGATGAAGATAACCAGAATAAGTGCCACAGCAAATTAAGTGTTGGAATTTCATAGTCTTTGAATACTTTGCATTGTTCTATTTTGACGCGGGCTGTTTTTTGTTTTTAAAAAAAAAATTAACATGTGAACATTTAAAAATTTGAAGTTAAGTTGACCTTCACCTCAGTCACCACAAATTGCAGTCTATAAAATTATTATTCTGTTCTCTGTCACTTCAGAGTGGTGATTTGGTAGTTTATTTGGAACCATCTCTGGCGAGAGAATACAACACACTACTAGACTCCCAACAACAAAGTGAAAAGAGATAAGAAGCCTGCAGACTTTGAGAGAGAACATGGCTTCACAGCCCAGACTTACTCAAGTCTGAGCTTCTGTTGAGTGATTCAGTCTCATCTCTGCATTGCACCATTAGTCCTACTTCCCTCCTTGGGGACAGTTTGCATATCAAAGTCCATTTATTTTTATGTGTACTGTTGTTGGTTTTTTTCTTTTTAAACCCCTCTTTTGATTTACATTGCAAGATCTCTTATTTCTTTTATGGATTTTTGACATCCCTACTGTCTGAGTTCCAGTCCTACTTTCTCATTTGGGTCACGTGGCATGACTGACCTTTTGTCCCTAGGTTTACAATCCAGACAAAAAATTCTTCATAAACCCCTGAGCTCTGCAGTCAGTCTGCATCCTCATTCTTTGGTTTCTCACTGCTAATAGCCCAAGATCATGAATGGGTCTTAATGGCCCTGACCAGCCCCACCTAGGACCTTTCCTCACCCCCTGACCGTGGGTCCAGGAACCTCATTTAGGCTTAGACTTGGCCCTGACCTGAGTTGTGCTGTGTGTCTGTCTTTAGTCCTTTAGTCCTTCTGCTTTTTAGTCCTTTTGGCCCTACCTCCAGGATGGATATAGACTTATGTTGTAGCCTTGTCTCCAACCCCATCCTCTACTACTCCCAAATATGCCACAGAGGCTCTAAGAGTCTGGACAAAATCCCTTCTGGTTGCACTTCTGTCCCAACAGTGATGACCCAGAAACTGTGGGAAGTCAGATAATTGACTGAGTTAATGGGTTACAACCAAATAGCAGTTGCTAAAAATTGAATTTACATGTAAGTCCAGTATTAAATCCATTATGAAATCCCTTGACTGTTTCATATTGCTAGAACAAAACTATTTCTTTATTTATTGGGCTCAGACTGACAGGGGCTTTGATATTGATCTAGCAATATCAAAGTGCTTAGACTTAGTTACAAGACTTGTATTGTTCTATTATAAGACAGTTCTGAAAGAATAGTTAGAAAAGCCCATATTTAATGAGTTGATGAATGTGTTATTGACTTCTAAAACACTTTGCAAGCAATTAATGCTTAGCCCTAGAAACTACTTATTTCTATAATTACCACAAAACTGCATAAGTTGGTCTATATGGTTGTCAGTTTTCAGATCAGTTTGACTTGTCAGCTTCCAGATTTTTCTGCCTTGGGTCAGTAATAGGGTCATGTGAATTTTTAAGTTATATTTATTGTTTTTAATTAGCCTGTGCCAAAAGACTGCCAACACTGTGAAAAATTAGAAGCATACAAAGCCATTTTGAGGAACTTGTTGTTATGAGTTAGCATATAGGAATTTAATTAAATATAACCTGCCACAGTAAACTGAACAGCTCTAGAATGTGAGTAGGTTACAGTGGCTGTCTGATTAACAAGAATCCTCTTCAAGTGATGATGTCCTGACAGCTACTATTTTAGAAGAAAGTCAAGGAGTCAGGAAAGAGCCTTCAAGCAGAAGGATGACGTGACACATAAGTTTTTTCTTTGCTATAGGATTCAATTCTTTCTATTTTAAGTACTGAATTGCTACACTTTTGTGCCTTAATCTATTTTGCTGAAAATTAACTAAGATAATTTCCACCACTTTGTTAAATCAGTACTTCTTGTATGCTCATTTCCATTAATGGAAACTTTAAACTTAAAGTAGTCTCCAAAACCTCCGCATATAGAAGCTGACAAACTATGCCAAAATCACTCCTGAAGGCAGTGATAAAGCCTGAGAAAGACATGCAGGTATTTTGTTTGTACCAGTTCCAGCTGAAAAGTAACTTTCATCTCTTATTTAACAACACATTTAATGACATGATAATGGCTTTAATCCATATGTCCATAGAGCATGACTGTTTTTTTTGCATTGGCTGGGAATAGCAATGTTATGCTCTTCAAGTCACAAATAAGGATATTTAGATAATTGTTGTGAGTCTAATGTAGCAGACTTTGTACTGGCTACAAAATTTTGAATCATGAATCAAATCTGTACATCATTTTGAGCAATAAATAATATAATATGGTTCTTCAGCTTGACTGTAAGTGCAGCTAATGTTCCAGCTATGCTTGGAGCTAATATTGAATGTGCAGCATCTGGAGCAGATCCTGGTTTTTAACAGTTTAACAAGTAACAAAAAAATACTGGCTCTATTAGCCTAAACAATTTACAAAGCTGCTCTATTTCTGAGTAGAAAAAATGCAATCATTGAATAAATGTCCTAAGTCATTTAGAGAAATAAACTCTGAGTCCTATAGTCAAGTTCAAGCAGTGCATAGGATGTGCTTGATGTTATCTATTGTTTGGAAAATACTTAATTATTGCACTATAAGCCTTAAATGTCTATAAAGCATTCTTTCAGGCTACTGTGGTTAACAATATAAAAGAAAAATTGTCTACTAATTAACTGTTCTCTTTTTGCATCTTTAGGGAAAAGTTTATTTTAAAACAGATCTTGAGTTTTTCACAAGGTGTTGAATAACATCTTGTACACCCTGGTGCATGTACTAAGACTTCAGAAGGCACCAAAAAGTGTATGTTTGTGTGATTGTCAGCAGTTGAAGGGGTGGACTTGGCAGCTGGAGTGCTACTTTGGTTTCTCTAGTGATAAATTCACTACACCCCCAAGCACCTCAGGGTTTTCTTGAAGCTAGAATTACTCCATTAGGCTGTGAGTCATGCTTGAACCCCATTGCCTAGCAAGGCAACACAGTGTGAGAGGTGGTTGAAGGGTGCGTGGGAACCTGGATGTGCCTGGGGTGGGCTTTAGAACAGCTGGATGCAAAAGAAATCACCTCTTCAGAGGGCCGTAATTTGCACCTGTAGGGGAACAGGTCATTAAAGCACAACATGCTCCTTAAATTCTCTGTGCTGGGATCGAGGAGCCATAGTGCAAATTCAGGAGCAAAAGAATAAAAATCCAACCATTTGTTGTCTCTCTACACATCTACTGACGTGAAGGTGTGTGACACGGCAAACTGCAAAACTCTTTGGCAAACAGGATAGAATGATGAGTGGCTGTGCCCAGCTTTGTCTATGCTAGGCTAGTTAAGTGTCTTCATTTTCTAAACTAGTGGTTAAGGTGTATGTATACTGAGTATACTGTAAATCTGTGTTTTTGAGGAGTTAGTTAAGCATTTAGACTGCATGAAGTGATTAGCTAAATGAGAGGACATGCAGAATTGTATATAAACTGTAAAGGGAAAAAGTTAACTGAGCAGAGACAAGAATGCATTGTTCTGAGAAAATTTCAGAGATATTCATCAGGATGAGAGAGCACAAAAAAAGGTCTTTGTGATGCAGCCTAAAACCCAGCTGTGCTAGCGTGAGACCAGCCTCTTTGCAAATAGATGGTATGGTTTTTGTGGCTGCGACAACATAATTTTAAAATGCTTTCACCTACAAGACACCCTGTAGAATTTTCCCACAGGGTAAAAGGTAGAGATGAAATTTAAGTGGCCTGATGATAGATTATTTGTCTCGCCTGAGCGACCGGCTGTATCAGTGAGTTATGTGCTTCTACCACTTGCCATGGGAACAGCACGAAACTTAAGTATCAGCAAAGGATGTTTCATATAGACACATTGGAATGACCATTTTGATCAATCCAGGCCTGCTTAAAGTGAATTCTATCATGATGGGCTAATAAATGCTTCCTACAGCACTATTTTGGAGGAAATCTGCTTTCGCTTTGCTGGACTTCTGACGTGTTGAGCACTTCTCTCTGCACTGGAGAAGGAGGCAACTTCCACAGCTGGGTTGCACCACCCTCATATTTTGATGACTTCTCTGGGGCACAGAGGTGTTGAATACAGTGCCCTGCAGGTCTGCACTCTCTCCCATTAGGAAGGCACAGTCATTAATTAATGATTCAAGAGTAAAAAAAATTAGGAAGTTGAAGTCTACTAGTTGGCAAGAGGTTTGCATACAAATCTTCTTCTTCCCTCAGGAACAATTAAATTAAATTAGGTATATTTGCATATAAAATAGCTTATTTTTTCTGTCATTTAAAAATATTACGAGACTTCTCTTTTTCCTCACAAGAATTCACATGAGGATTATTTAATTGGAACTATTAAATCTATTTTTCTAAAGCCAAACAGAAAATGAGATTTTGCATAGTTTTAAATAATATTCACATATGGGAACTCTAATAACTTGGTAATATGTAAAGAAGTTGTATTTAATACTTTAATGAATTTATAATGCTTTGGGAAGTTATTTGTGCTCATTAATTTAAAAATGAGTTTCAGTATTTTAAAGGAATTTTATTAACAGGTCTAGACAAATGATAAAGAAATCCTACTGCAGAAGCATGGCCAGCTTTCCAAACTGTTAATCTCCTGAGAATTTTTCATGGCTTCAATACACTCTTTGTTGAATGTGTGTTTTCAGACTTTTATAAGTTAAGATTCAGTTTTGAGATGATCCCTCAAATAGCAATAAGTAAATCTCCCTAATTTACTTGGTAGTTATATACAGATGGTTTCATACCTGTTTCTGTGTCCCCTGAGCACCCATAAGAGCACCTGTTTCACCTCACCTGCATTGACTGCACTTGTATTTGGGTAGGATTTGAAATCACTTTTTCATGGTGAGACCCAGGGCTGACTCCAGAGCTCCTGAGTCATTCTACATTAACATGTGATTTAGTCAATGGGTTTTTCACACTTTGATTAGTGGATCTGTGACTGATGACCCATTGACCAAATGAGTATTTACTAGATCCGGAACTTTCAGGACTAAAAATGTGACCTGCTACTGAGAGTTAAACTCTACAGCACTGAATCCATGTGGTTTGTTATCCACGTGCCAAAAGGTTGCTTTAAAGAATGTTCATTATAACATGGGGTTTACCCATGTAGGAGGATTGTTGGGTAACTCAGTAGGACAGGGTGGAGGGGAGGGGTGGGGGGCAGGAAAGCCTTGAAACCCAGGATTTCACCAGCCTGATTCTGCCTCTGGCCTTGGGGTCCTGCTGGCCTCATCCCTACCTATTTCCCTGCAGGATCACCTTCTGGCACTGTGAACTGCACCTGGCATTTTGATAGATCCCTACTTACAAACTGGGGTCCTGGCACTTCTCAAAGCCCACCTCCTTACAGTGCATCTCAAGGGCATCAAAGCTGGAACAAAATATCTGTACTTTCTCAGAGTTGTACAAAAGTCATACAAAGTTATACTTTCTCAGAGTGCTGCTCTGGAACAGTCCTTTTATACCTTTACTAATAAAACCAAAGTTGCTTTACCTAAAGTATATTTTTTAGCATCACTATTTGAATTGTAAAGTTAGAGACCATATGTCAGCTGTGAAAGAACTTTTGAGCATGGCCAACTACTTTTTCTCTCCACGTGTGAGGTTATGGCACATCTCTGCTTTCAGGCTTGGTAGGTTTGTTTTTTTTTTTTTTACTTTATTTCATTGTAAAAACAGAGGAGGACTTGGAATTAAAAGAGAGACTGGAGAGATATTTTGTCCACGTCTTTATTTGCATTGAGTCTGACTTGTTATGAAAGCAATGGCTGCCCCTGCTCAAGAAATACTTCAATACATGATTAATTAACTGCCAGTATAGAGGTTTGGTACCTCTTTGCCCCATGTGAATAACCAGCTGAAATGTTTGTTTTTCAAATCTGAGCAGGAGTCCACCATTTGAAGCACTACTTGTGCAGAACTCGGCAGCATTAAGACCCATAAGCCCTTTATTAGAAATGACTATTGGAGAGGGAGAATAAGGTCGAGGAACAGAGCAGCAACACCAGTAGATCGATGCCTGAACTTCTGCTAGAAATGTTATACAGACAGACATCCCACTTCTTCTAACTTCCAAAAGACTGGCATTTTATTAAGGCTGTGTATAATGTGCTGAGTTCCCCCCCAGCTTCTCAACTTCCATAAAGAAAGAAAAGATACCCATGTGCTATCTCAGAAACTTCTCGCTCTTTCAGCAATAATTGGTTAACTCAGGTAACTCATTGATTAGCTCTGATCATATCTGACAGAAAGATGGGAAAGTGAAACATTTCTTTATTGCAGGTCTGCCTGATAACCCCTCTCTGTGCAGACCTGAGGCTGTTGGCCCCAAGCTCACCAAGGGTGTCAGCAGTGTCCAGCTGGCTGGGCAGCACACCTCCAGCTCCAGCTGCCTTCCCCTTCCTGCAGAGGCAGCTGAGGACGTGGAGGGGAGCTGAGGTTACTGCAGGGAAGGAGGGAGGGATGGGTATGGAGCTGGGGAATTGTACTGTAGCTTCAAGAAATCAGTCTTCATTAGTCCTGCTGCAAAGACTTGAAGTGATTCTTCTCTGTCTCTCAGGAGACAATTTTAATCATCTGGGACAGAGGAGTTCAGCGTCTTTCTCCTGATTGCCCCTCCAGAGGCTGCTCCTTTTGACAGGGTAATCCACTAAACAGTATAGAAACACCAGGAACTTGTTAGAGAATATTAGGAGAATGCATGAGATGTAGCTGCTGTGATCTTTGGCCCACTGAATATTGAAATATTTTATATCTAGTTTCAAAAGGAAAAAAGCACTTAAGTTATTATGACAGTTCAGCACAGGTGGGGAATAACTTATCATAGAATCACAGACTGGTTTGGGTTGGAAGGGACCTTAATGATAATCTAGTTCCAACCCCCCTGCCATGGCAGGGACACCTTCCACTAGACCAGGTTGCTTAGAGCCCCATCCAACCTGGCCTTGAACACTTCCAAGGATGGAGTCATCCACAGCTTCTCTGGGCAACCTTTTCCGGTGTCTCACTACTCTCCCAGTAAAGAATTTCTTCCTAATATCTGATCTAAACCTACCTAATTTCAGGGTCTTAGCCCTTGTTCTATCACTACACTCTTAATAAAAAGTCCTTCTTGAAAAATCACTCTTCATGAAGCTCTTACTGTTTCTGCTTACGTGTTAAAAGCATCAACCTTTCAAAATATAAGGAGAAAAAAAAATTCTACAAGCTTTAGGTTAGCAGGAGATACAGAAAGGTAACCGAGTTCAGAAAAATAAAAAAATACAAAATTAGAAAAATAATTCCCTTCCACCCAGAAAAAAAATCTAAAACAGTGCCAATGGGATATTTGAGATCAATGTTGAAGGACAGCTATCTCAGTCTCATTGCTCTGGCAAACATTTGGGTACCCTGAGGAACACCCCAAGCATTGCTCATTTCTCTAACACTGCAGATCTTGGAAGAATGGCACCCCTGCTAAAAACTACACAACTTTCTGTTGATTTTTCTGCTTTGGTTTTGTCAAAACTGGGCTTACTTACAGGGATAATTTGATCCTTCAAAAATCAAGCGATCCCACTGAAACAGTATGTTGTTAGCATATTATCAGTCACCTTCAGATTTCATCATGTTTCTGCAAAATGCTCTTGTCAAGTCTGACAGACTTTTCATTCTTATTTGAAATTAATTAGAGCCTCTGCCTTACTTTGATTTTATAAAAGGCTGTGGCTGGGGAAATTCAACCCTAGCCCTATGAAAACATCTCTGTGTAACATAGTAGACAAGTAGATGTAAAATATGTATTTTACATAATGTTTATATACAATATAGTGAGACATTTGTCAATTTTAATATACAGCCAATCACTTGCAGTGTTTCTTTGTGTGCAGATAAACTCATATTAATTCCAAGATAGTAGAACAGAATTAATATTCTAGTAATTATCTATTTCCAATTAAAATATAATTGTGCAATGAATAATAATAAAAAAGAGCCAAGACTTTCAAATACTTGAGGTGTAGTGCCTTGAATTAATATTTATGAACCAAAAGTAAGTGTTCTGACTTCATAAGAGTGCTGTGCACTCAGCAGCATCTTCTGCTATCAAAAAAAGCATAGATGTAGCACAGAGTAGCCTGTCTCTCTCTCTTCTGCAGTTTGATTAGGGATAGAACTTGCTGCCTTCTTAAGTGCATAAAGCTGCAGCACTTGGGTCAGCTGTAAATGAGTCGAAGTTTCTTGGTTAATGATGACAGTTTACAGTAATAATGAGTTTTAAGAAACAGACGTACTTGGCACTTTGAAAAGCACTCAGCAGCTTCTCCTGAAATCCCAGCTTCTGAAGTACAGACCACTTATTTAGTTTAGGTTTGGTATGTGTTGTTGTTGTTTGTTTGCTTGTTTTTCTTTTTAGCTGCCAATCTGTGAGCTCAACTTGTTTGGCTATGAACGCTTTATTTTGGATTCTGTGATGGTTTTTCCTGTCTGAAGACTGGGGGAGTACAAAATAACAAACCCAAGTTACTACCATCCATTTCCCCTAAAATAATCTTACTTAAGCTTTCCTGTATCATATTTATTAATGACTGATTGAAGAGTATTTCAACACTGGCTAATCAAAACCTCTACTTAACACCCTTCAGAGTAGGCAGGTAAAGAAAGTTCCAGACAAGAATCAGGGCCCCACTATCCTCCTATACTGTGTATCAGCTCTAACTCCTCCCTGGGACTCTGCTGCTCTGTCCACTGTAATGCCACAGTGATGAGATAAAGATGTATTATAATATACAGAGGGGTGTGGCTTGCATTTTTTAATTTCATTTTTAACTGTGCATGTCTACAAAGTACTAAAATAAATCTTTATGTGAAAAGATGAGTCATGGTATCGGCTGGAGTTAAATCTGGAGAGAGTTTACTAGTATAAGTGGTAAATACATATCAACATTTTCTGACTTTTAGTCTTTCTTCCCTGATTTTTATTCCATCTTAGATTTGTTAAATAAGATTCTGTTTTGCACAGGAATTGCAGAGCAGATTGGAGTCAAGGGATATGTAATCTAACAGTCGAAAGCAGTATCAGGTATTTCAGTGGAAGGTGTAAAAATCAACCATTTGTAGACAGAAGGTAAAAATATGTCATTTCAGACCCATGTATCAAATAGAGATTGGTTTATAGGCTTGCATATGACATTTCAGTCACTCAGTTCACTTGGGATTATTCTGAGAAGCATTATTATGAATATGCACATCCAATTCTCTCTCGTAAAAAAAATCTTTGCCTACCTATGATTTGACTCTTCACTGCAAGGAGCATTTTGTCCCAGACAGATGAGCAGTGACCTTTCCTTAAAGGCAGTTATCTGTTTTCTCTTGGATCAAAACTCTTTACTTCCTCCCTCCTTACATTCATTTCTCGGGTATATCGGGAATAGTAATTTTAAAAATCTGGAGAGTAACCTCTTCCACCCCACACAGTTGTCAGGAGTCAGCAGAAATCAGTCCCTGGCACCCACGGTGTGCCTGGGAGAGTTTTGAAAAAGCTGGAAAAGCTCAGCAATCTAACACTGGTGAAAATTACTCTCTGTATTTCAACATCTCTGTGCTTCTTTGGGTGCCAGTTTGCAGGAATATAGATTTCTCTGCTGATTGCAGGAACAGGTTTTTGTTTGACTAAAGTGGAAAATTCTTTAAAAGTCTCCCAAAATATTGCCAGCTACAAACTCTGATGAAAAACTTGATCTACTCTATTAATTGCTTTGCAGAACTCCAGTTTCTTTCAGGAACGCTCTCCTTCTTCAGACCTCTGCCTCTATCCTTCCTCAGCCCATCATGTGTGCCCATGACACCAAGCTGTGTGGTGCAGTTGGCACACTGGAGGGAAGGGATGCCACCCAGAGGGACCCAGACAGGCTTGAGAGGTGGGCCTGTGTGAACTTCATGAAGTTCAACAAGGCCTAGTGCAAGGTCCTGCACCTGGGTCGGGGCAATCCCAAGCACAGATACAGGCTGGGAAGATAACGGATTGAGAGGGGCCCTGAGGAGAAAGACTTGAGGGTGTTGGTGGACAAGAAACAGGAAGGACATCGACCTGCTGGAGCGAGTCCAGAGGAGAGCTGCAGAATGTTCTGACAGCATTGGAATGGGAGGGGGAAGTTCCTATTTCAAAGGAAATTTTTAACTCACAGGTAAAACAAAGTAATTGCTTTTATGACAAGGACTGCAAATAGGTCACAGGTTTCCTGAATCAGACTCAGTGCCATCTCAGCATTTTATTGGGGAAGAGAATTTCCTAGTCTTCTGAATTACATAGTCTGTTGGGGTGTGGAACTCTGGATGGACAAAGGCCAGAGACAGCCCTGGACTATGTGCGTGTTTCTCTTCCTTTTGAAATGTCATGTGTGTGAAAAGTATTTGATTACTGATGGGTTTTAAAAATTTTATGGCTTCTGCTCGATGGTCTAAGGTATGCTTTTTTCTCTTTCCAGCTTGTCATATTGAGATACTCCTAAAGGGATCAAAGGCAAACATTTAATTTATTTCCTTATTTCCTATTCCATTTTGAATATAAAGCCTTCATTACTGCCTTTCACTTAACAGCCCCCTGTGCAGTTAGATCTTAGAATCATAGAACTATTTAGGTTGGGAAGGACCTTTAAGATCGAGTCCAGTCGTTAACCAAGCACTGCCAACTCCACCACTAAGCCATGTCCCCAAGTGCCACATCTACATATCTAAAATGCTCCAGGGATGGTGATTCAACCACTTCCCTGGGCAGCCTGTTCCAATGCTTGAAAACCCTTTCCATGAAGAAATTTTTCCTAATATCCAATATAAACCTCCCCTGGCACAGCTTGGGGCCATTTCCTTTTATTCTATTACTAGTTACCTGGGAGAAAGGCCCAAAACTGAACAAAATATTTGAGGTGAGGCCTCACCAGCGCTGAGTACAGTGGTATGATCACTTCCCTGGTCCTGCTGACCACACTATTTCTGATACAGGCCAGGATGCCATTGGCCTTCTTGGCCACCTAGGCACACTGCTGGTCCGTGTTCAACCGCTGTCAACCAGCACTCCCAGGTCCTTCTCTACTGAGCAGCTTTCCAACCACTCTGCCCAAAACCTGTAGTGCTGCAGGGGGTTGTAGTGACCCAAAGACAGTACTTGGTGCTTCATCTTGTTGAACCTCATAACCTCAAGGCATCCTTGTTGCCCTTCTAAGTTGCCCCTGCTTCCAAAATTGACAGCCACTTTTTTTTCGGGAATTCCAGCTGAAGCTCTCTGTTCAGCCAAGCCAGTCATCCTCCTCCCTGGTTCATCTTTTAGGACATAGGAACAACCTGCTCCTGTGCCTTTAGGATTTCCTTCTTGAAAAACGTTCAGTCTTCTTCCCTGTTGCCTACTCATTTCAGCCACAGTGCACCTTTGGTTTAATGGGAACACCTTAACTCAAGAACAACAGTTTAGCACCTGTATTTTGATGCCATGTGACTTCCCTCCATATCTGTCTTAAACAGCACCAAGTCTCACTCTCCTATTTTGGTGACCTTGGCTTTTGCGGCCTTTCACAAAGAGGTAGAGGAGGAGAGGGGTCTGCAACCTAAATCAGATCACTTCTGTGAGCTACAGAAGACAATGACACGGTTCCCTGAAAGTCTGTGGTTGAATTTGGAGGAAAACATGAAGGAAAACTTCCATAAAGTGGTAAGAACAGTCTGCAAATTTCACTGCTCAGGCCTCACTTCCTGTTAGCTTATGCCTCATGTAAATCTACCACAAGCTGTGATACTGTGGTATAAAAATGTGCTCATCTAATCCATTTGATAAAATTATTTGATTTTTTTCCCTATGCCTGCACAAGATCAGCTAAATTAGAAGGGGATTTCATCACCAGCATCCTAGCAGAGGTATTGTAATTGAATCTTCACTTACAGCTTAATCATGCAATCAACAAGACTATATAAAATTTTGACAGAGACCTAAAAACTGTCATTTGTGTCAAGCTAGTACTGATTAATTTATTGATCTGTTTCTATTCAGTTCTTTAGAAGTAAATACATGATCCTCTAAATAACCGAGACCTTACTCTGGAACCACACCGTGGTGTTGATATTCCTGTGTGGAGATTGTGCCTATACCCATCCCTACAGAGCTGAATTACAGCTGACTGTTGTTCTGCAGCTGGTTTCTCTGTTCATTAAACTGTGACAGCACGAGACCTGATGTCTCTATAACTGGTGGGTTTTATGCTGTCTAGGTACCTATGACAAACATAGACCATGAGCTAGAGACTGCTTAAAATTGTCCTACTTTCTTCCTCTCAGCAGAAAAGTTTATCTTTTGCAAAAAATTAACATATAACAATAATGGGGGGGGAGTTGAAGAAATCTTGGAGAAGAATTGGATAAAGGCATAATGGGAATGCCTAGGCACTGATAGGAAAGTTCATGTTATATTCACAGAAAGAGGGGATGAACTGGGGGCCCTACAAGCATTGGAAATACTGCTTTGGTGCTGAGTACTTAGGCTTTCTGAAAACATAGTTTTGCTTGGGGTATTTCTTTAAATTAAAAGTCTTCACAAAGAAAATCTTTGTCTCCTAAAAAAACCCTAAAGCCATAAGCCCTGTTTTCTCTTACATAAAAGAAATTAAATATTAGGGATGACTGAATATTTTCCATTGAAAGTAGTTTTTCTTTCTTAGATTTGCTCCAGGATATAAGAAGAGCATTTTGCTCTCCATGCTCTGTCCTTGCCCCCCATCACTAGGCTTTAGTCATTCTTAGAGAGATAACATCCTGCCCATGCAATAGTTTCTAGGCTGTCAGGATAACTGCAGTGGTTAGAGGAAATCCTCACTGGGTGCTAATGTCACTTCCCGTTTAGGTGTTTCCTGCTAAAATGCATTTTTCTGTTTTAATGTGGTTGAGTGCATGTCGATATTTTTTTAAACACTGACTATATTCTGATGCTTCTGGTTGAGTAGAAAGTGACATGGAGAAACTGTGTTGGAGTCATGGATTTTCAGTGTTGGCCCAGCCAGGAGAAGGGGTTAAAATGATCTGGCTGGTGGTGCAATTTTTCTGGTTGTGTCAATCATAAACAAGGAGGAATACTGCAGTGTGAATGCAGAGTCCCATGGGAAGACCTCAGTAGGAGTTATTCACATCAACTTTGTTACCAAAACAGATGTCCTGTGAAGCTGTCTTTGGATAAACACGACACAGTGTCATTGGGCGTGACCATAACACATCTTCAAGTCTAAGTTGCAACACACATTGGATGGAAGTGCAAAATACTGCTGTGTCTGAATAGTGGTGGTTTATGCCTGTTCAGTGTGGAGGCTGATGATTAAAAGGAGTGGTTGAAGGACATGCTGAGGCTGTATCCCACATTGACTGAAACTTCTTAGCATTGCCATATTTCCAGCAGTTGAACTGGGAACTGCTTTCTTTAGACACTTCTTTAAAAATCTATCCTGTCCCTAGTACCACTAAGGTTGGAAATGACTTCTAAGACCACTGAGACCATAAAAAGATGGGAAAGAAGCCCTGTCAAGACTGCAGTGTATTCGTGTCTTGTCTCACTCCTCCTACATGGAGCAGCTCAAGCGACAAATTCCCACTGCTTTTTGTAGCTGAACTTAGCTATTTTCAGCTCTTGCTATGTGAGGCTGGATGTCACACTTGCCTCAGGTTAGACAGGAGGGTGCTCAGACTGTTGGTAGTAAGGGCTTCAAGCAGCTTCCGGTTGTCATGCTTTGTGAGTCACTACTAAGGGCTATAAATAGGAAATAATATAAAGTATATCTATTAATCTTACAAACCATGTAGTGAGGGGACAGTATGACTCAGTCCAGTCACCCCATCCCCAATTTTTGTAATTTCTCTTATTGCTGTGTTATGGTTGATCTCTGAAATACTGGGGACAAGCCAGGGTCTGATGCATTGGTGAGGCACTCTTGTTTCTCAAAACACATTATTTATAACCTATCACAAGTGGGAAAAGATCAGACTGAACTGGCTGAAGGAAAAACACAATAAAAATGGAAGTAAAAGTAAGATGGCAAGAGAGAAAAATGGGTGAAGGGAAGAGTGGGGAACGTTCATACTACAGATACCTCAAAATTTTAAGTGGAACCAGAATTCCTGAGTAGGAAAGAAAAGAAAGTGAAATTTGTATTTCCATATTTGCAGCTCTTGATCCCTATTCAGTGATATCTCTTAATCAAGAAGGAAGAGAAGAAAAGAATAGCAGGTTTCGGGATATTTGCATCTTGACCAAGCTGGTATACAAAGAGTGAGGGATGGCTGATGTGAAGTGACAGTCCTGTACAGGAAAGCCCAGGGAGTGCAGAGCCTGCTGGGACCTATCCTGTAACAGAACTGCGTGGTGTCAACCACTGAGTGGGACTAAATTTAACTTTTTTCTTTTTTCCTTTTTTTTTTTCTTTTTAAAATTGTTGTTGTTTTATTTGGATACTTGGTGGGGGTTTTTTGTTTTTTTTTTTTGGTTTTTTGCCTGATTAGATGTAAGTGTTGATGGAAAAGCCTGAGTAGACCCAAAATTTGTTGAAAAGACGTATTTAGAAGAGATTACTTAAAAAAGCCATAAACACTGAGCTATGTTTCATTACGCTGCCTTGCAAATCAAACGGTCTTACATGTGACTATACATATGGACTGCAAATAGAAGAAATTTGGGTCTTGAGCAAAAGTTATTCCCACAAAAAAATTTCCACTTCTCTTCTAAAATGTGTCCTCAGCTGGATAAAAAGATAAACAATGTGAAGGAGGCCATGACTTGGCCTCTGCCAGCAGAGAAGGTCACGGCTCAGGAGGGAAGGAAGCTAAACCTGAATTTGTGCAGAAATCAGTGGTGGAAGCTTGACTGAATTTTTGCTAACTGGCAAATTCTGAACTTTTCCAGGAAAGGTCAAGATAATTTAGCAGGAAAAAAAAAAGCTGCTGCCAAATTCTAATGAGTTCCTTTCTTTTTCCCATCTGGGAATAACTGTGAACTATCTGGATAAGTTTATTGGCATGACGTGCCAATAAAATAAGCAGAGTTACCCTGGGACAAGTTCATCCATAGCATGACTACTTGCTGAGGTGTTTTTGCACCAGGGATTGATTTTATTCAGCTTTCCTTTAAGTTACTTTTCTGAACTATAACAAGCTCTTATCTGAGACATCTCAATAAAATAATAATTTTAAATCAAAAATATTAATAAAGTAGATAATTCAGATACTTCACTTGCAAATAATTCATTGCACTAAATTAGTTTTCTCTAATCAATTAAGAGTCTGCCAGGTACCAGCAAATAGTAATCTAACAGAGGGAACAATTTTACATATTTTTAGGGAAGGTGTGAGAGTAGCACCAACTTATTTAAAATTACTCCTCCAACCCAGAGGGCCCAGGCTGAACTCTTCCTTCCAATAACACAATGGATTTTTTCACCAGTTTTCTTATTTGGAAGAGGGATTTATTGCCTTAGTGCTACTCTGAGCCCAGTTATTTTGTTTGGTGGTGGAGTGGCAAGCAAAATATACCACTATATGGTTCATGTGTCTCAAGGACAAACCTAATATCTGCAGAGACATACCAGTTTCTACATCTATCGCTGACATGGGGTTTGGCAGGATGGTACAGAGCTCTTTTACAATCAGTACAGAGACACAGGGGACCAGAGTGACCCAGAATATCCCTGTGGTGATCTGAG